TGTGTGTGTGTGTGTGTGTGTGTGTGTGTGTGTGTGTGTGTGTGTGTGTGTGTGTGTGTGTGTCTCTATTGCCATCTGGGGTCTGGTGCACCACATGGTTGGTTCTGTCTGCTCATACCTCCCAGGCCCAATAAAAATGCATAGGCCCTGAGTTTGGCTGGAACTGGAATTTTGTTGGGAATGTGCTAAAACATCAGCTGATAGGGGTCTTCAGGTGGGTCCCACTTAATTACCTAATTTGAGCACTTGATTTGTCAGGTGTAAATGAAGTACCTCGTAGCACAGGTATTGTTTCAGCACACACAGTTTGTACAGTTAAATCCATAACTTGTTTTAGATTTAACTATCCTGTCTTCCTTCTCTCACCCCAACTGGTCGCAGCAGATGGCCCCGCCCCTCCCTGAGCCTGGTTCTAGCGGAGGTTTCTTCCTGTTAAAAGGGAGTTTTTCCTTCCCACTGTCGCCAAAGTGCTTGCTCACAGGGGTCATGTGATTGTTGGGTTGTTCTCTGTATGTATTATTGTAGGCTCTACCTTACAATATAAAGCGCCTTGATGCAACGGTTGTTGTGATTGGCGCTGTATAAATAAAATTGAATTGAATTGTCTCGTGGGCAGTGCTGCTCCATGAGGATGGGGCTGGCTCACACCAATTTGACTCAACTCCACTTTCCAATTAATATTCACAGGCTCTATTTACAAACAATCATTTGGCATGCAATCCCAGTGAGGGGACACCCGTATGACCTGCATTTAATACCCTTAAGACGTCTGTATACTCACTTTAAATATATTGTCACAGCAAAGCCGTCAGAACACAGAATGGACCGAAAACGCAGACCCAAGACAGTGACACAGGTGAGTGTAATGAGGATGAGTAACGATTTAAGAGACTGAAGGCAGACCTCACCTGAACAATGTCCCTCTCGGCGTATCTTCCTCTAGAAGAGATTCTGACTTCATCACCGTCTAATTCAACCATGGCTGTAAAGATTAAAGACAAAACTAAGCTGGCAGCAGTTTTTCCTACAAAAAAATCTAATCAAATAAAGGTTTGTTATTTTAACCCACATGTTTCAAGATCTTGTTGACTTACCATCAAATTCTGCAGGCCCTACTCCCACAATGATAATTGACATCGGCAGGCAGGAGGCCTAAACGAGAGCGAGAGGAAGAACAATTAATATTTCAAAACATTCAAAGCTGTGAAAATCTTTACTTGAGCGTAACGCCATGCATGTTCACCCGTGTTGGACACTGTGGAGGTTTTTCTTTAGTAAACAAATCATGTCACATTCATGTCTCGCAGAACACATACAATATGTGTGATCATGTGTGTTTTCCACCCCCGGAGCGCTGCGTGGGTTGAGCCATCACTGTAATTAATATTAGACATGAGACACTCAACTCGCTGACAGCTAACAAATGACATGTGTTTGTGTTGTACGTGGGCGCATTCGTTCAAGTGTCACAGAGTGTGTATGCAGTCCATCGGTGTGTGAGTGTGTTCAGTGAGTAATGTTATGACCTCAGGCTGCAGAAAGATAGATGATGTTATCAAAACATCTCGCTTATTTTTTGCTCCCAGTGGTAGAGGTCCTCATTGGGTTTCTAATTCTGCTCCACTCACCCCCCCCTCATATCTCACATATATCTGCCCCCTTTTTTTTACCCAAGCCTTCTATTTCTCCCGTCGAACCATCAAACCCCCTGTCCTTTGTTGTTTTCACAGGCCCTGAGATGGATCACTGGTTTCAGAAACATGGCTTCCGTTCACTGTTCATTTTGTTTGCATTCTGGGCGACTCTGGACTTGACAGTGATGGAGAGGATGGTGCGAAGGTGAACCACATGCTGGCAAAAGCAGCACAGCAAACACACATTATAACAGAAGGAACCGCTGCCAGTCATGGACGTCGTATCAAATGCGAAATTCTATTTTTTATTAAATTCCCTCAACTGTGCACAGTTCACATGCGCTTTCAGCCCCCTGCTCATTTGCACACAGTTTTGTCTTGACTGTAAATGTTTACAATCCAGAGTATTTATTTATGTTTAAGATTTGGTCCACAGTTATTTCGGCGTGTTTCCTAACTTTTCCCACCACAACACCGCATGTAACCAGCACAACAACAGAAAACTCTGTGACTGCTACCCATGCACTATAGTGCACTAACCCTGATGTGTGAAAAGCACACTGTGACTTGCTGTACATGCTAACCCAGTATAAAAGGAGGATGTAGCCATGGCGATGTCACCCGCTGGGTTAGGCCTCTACACTTTGAAGCTTCAAAATGAGCCACCACATAGTTCTTATTGATGGTTTTTTGAAGTTACTATATTTGGACAAAAGGGCTGAATTATCTTGGTTTGCAAGCTGTCTCCACAAAGTGTACAGACATGCATTGCTCAGTAATAGTCTAATAGTATATTAGAATTTCTCTCAACCGAAGCACAAACCACACAGCTATAACATTAATCAGATAATCCATTAAAAATGCCCCAACAGGCATAAACACAGTAGAGAGGTCTACTTCAGTGAGTGAAATTAATAGAGGGAAACTAATAAACACATATCAGAGCCAGCTCCCTGTGTTGGGAAACCTGTCAATTAAAACAGCCATGCTCCCAATCCAATTATCCAGGTGGATGAGCTTTAAAGAAATCATCCCACTCAGAATTCTAGAAATGAAGAAACTATCCACAGAGGCCAAAACGTATTCTTGTATCAGGCTATAAATATGCTTTTTAATGCTATAAAGTTGGCCGTTTTAACATGAGAGTCCATGAATACGGACTCGAGAGGATCTGCAGTTTTTGCCACTTCTGCATTTTCCCCTGTTCTAACCCTCAATGGTCAAAACTTCAGATGATACAGTAATCATCCAGCACAAAGCAATTTTCATCTATTTAGGGATGGGAACATCATCAGTGCTAACAAACTATCTAGAAGTGTGAGATTTAGATTGTTGCACCTTTAGCTAATCAGGTTGTGTTTTGATGTTTGATGGTTGTAGTGTTGTGGTGTTGTAAATATATGCGAAATGAGGCAGCTAGCATGATGGTCACGGTCATTTCTCTTTGCATTCGCCTCCATGGTGATTCGTTGCTTCTTTAGCATAAAGAACTGCTACGTAAAGTTTAATTAAGGGATGATTGCTTCCTTCCTTGTTTGTCGTTCATGTTTTCATTATTTCCTCATTCCTTCAGCCAGTCTTTGGTTTTGAATGGCATTGGCTTTATTTATCATTATTATAATTAAACTTTTGCAACTAATATTTCTTCAAAAGGGTGAACTTTCTGAGAGGTGCAGGCTCAGGTGTTCACAGCTGCTCTGCACGTCCTTACATTGACAATAGATTCCTTGGTCTGGGCCATGTCTGAGATGACCCCGTCTGTGATGATGAGGAGCACAAAGTACTGGGAGCCATCCTTCACAGATGCTGCGTATCTGTACAAAAACACACAAAGAAACAATTTGTGGTTATTTCTGATCTCCTTACATGTTTTTGTTACAAATACAGCTCATTACTTGAGCAGATTATGCATCACACTGTGTAGTTTAATTACATGTAAAGCATTTAGTGGCTTTATTTAATAAAGAGCAGAAACAGATCTGTGAAAACAGGGTGGTATTGATGCTCTGGATAACAGGATAATCTGTCAAACACATCTTTATGTCAGTTTCACAGATTCTTGTCTTATTAAGAATTTTAGCCACTCTGTTACCAAGTGTGTCCTTTCACTCCTGTCTGAGTCGTGACCTGATATTATTCCAACTGCTTCAGTTTCTTTCAAGCATCACCTTTCTGTGCAGCAAGCTACATCTCCATCTCCTAATAACTTCCACTATAGACCATCACAACACTGTAGATAGAGGGATGAAATATAGCAAAACAAGTCGAGTCAGAGACAGCGAGAGACCAAGGAAGACAAAGTCGATAATTACTAAGCTGTATGAGGGAGTGGAGTAAGAGATAGCAGAAATGATAAATGGGGGCTGTGCTATCAAAAAAAGAGATGCAGAGGCTGGACGGGACTTAAAAGAACTGCAAGCCTAAAGTTGATAAATAAGTCTTACAGTTGCAGAAAGATGTTACGTGTCCCCATAACAACTAGAGTTTAAAGGTTTTAATGAGGTTATGAGGAGGAATTTATGCAATGTGTTCTGATTAGTTAGGTTCTTATCTCACACAGCTGAACCAGGTCTGAGAGTTAAAACTTTTAGAGCAAAAACAGAGTTAATGATCTGCAGTCTGGCTCGGGGGAGGATAGAAGTTTATGAAAAATGCAGCCTTGTTTACGTCTCTGAAACGCTTAACATATTTATGTTTAAAGACTTGGTGATAGATTTTATGTTTTGAGCTAGTATGTGTATATATCTATATCTATCTATCTATCTATATCATATCATATTATCTATTATCTACTATCTATATCTATTACTATCTATACTATCTATATCTATATATCTTATTATTGATGAAGCAGTAGTAGATAGAGCAGAGGAAGAAGAGATACGAGAGAAAGAGGAGCAAAGAGACAAGAAGCAGTCAGACGAGAGTAGCACAGAGACCAAACTGAAACTCGTGCACTGTGGATTTGATTAACAGAAGGCCGTCAATGCCCCAAGCTGCGATACTGGAGATGACCTAGAATTGTACAGTCATGGGACCCTAAGAGCCATTCATCAGAACTCAATGGGGTGTGGCTACAACCACTAGAGGCCAAATCCAACCCTAAGCACAAGTCACCATCAAGGTGCGGGATCTACCAAGGAATGCTCGTCCCCACTGCTGTTCTGCATAGGCCTGAACCCCTCAGTGAGATCATTAACAAGACTGGCCTACGGATACCAACTACGGAACAAGCAGTTGTCAGCCTGCTGGGGTAATAGGCTGGCCAAAGGAGGAGATAGAAGCCACTGACATAAAGACAAGAAAGCTCCTTACCATGCATGGAGGGTTTCACCCCAAGTCCAGCACCCTGAGGCTGTACGCTAAGCGGAAGGAAGGGGGCCGGGGACTGGTGAGTGTCAGCACCACAGTCCAGGATGAGACAACGAACATCCAAGAATACATTGGGAAGATGGCCCCAACTGACCGAGTGCTCAGTGAATACCTCAGGCAGCAGAAACCCAAGAAAGAGGAGGGAGACGAGGAACCATCATGGAAGGACAGGCCCCTGCACGGTATGAAGAGCGCAGTCCTGGGAACAGCTAAGATACTGCGCAGGACCCTCAAGCTCCCAGGCCTCTGGTAGAGGACCCGAGCTTGAAGGATAAACCGCCCGCAGGGGCGTGCTGGGTGTTTGTTTTTTATATATATATGCTGCAAGCATACATGCTGCAGTTTTAATTGGTTTTGTTATTTGAACTGAGGAGAAGAATATTTCAGGCACAGAACAAAAGCAGCAAAATGAACAGCTTCACTTTGTTTAAAGAACTGGCCTGGCTCTGAGTCAGGGGTAACAGAGCTGTGCTGTTTCTTATTGTTACTATTAAATTCAGTTAAATTTTATTTATATCGCTCCAAATCACAACAACAGTCACCTCAAAGCCCTTCATCTTGTGAGGAAAAGATCCTACAAGAAATACAGAGAAAACCCCAACAAACTCCCCTTTCACCCGCTGGGCCCATGTCCTCATTTGAGGTTTGACAGCGGTTTAGTTGATAAAGGTGAAAGGCTTGGACATGAATTGAGCTGCGGTTTGGGGACTGGCGGTGGCTCATGGGCCTGGCAGATCCCCATAGTTTACCCATAGTACTACATAGAAGTGAAGAAGTGAAAGAATTGAAAAGGGGAGGGAGGGTGGGCCACGTAAACGAGAACAAACAGCTTGTAGGACTTGGGGAACCTACATAGATGAGAACCGGAAGGAGCGTGTTTGGAGGTGTGGTCCTGCTCCTAAAATTCAGATACTTTATCTCCAATTAACAAGAAGAAACCAGCAGAACAGGTTCATGGAGGGACACAAGACACAAAACATGCTGTGGAAATGCAGAGTGGTGTCTAAAAATAGAGTAAGTGAAAATTCCAGCGTAATTACGGGAGGATTTAGGGTCACCTGATCCAGCTCTAACTATAAGCTTTATCAAAAAGGAAAGTTTTAAGCCTAAACTTAACCTCTTAAGCCCCAATGCTCCAAATACAGGGGCAAAAGGCAGGAGATCGGTTAGGCGTTGGGGCTTAAGAGGTTAAAAGTAGAGAGGGTGTCTGTCTCCCAATCCAAACTGGAAGCTGGATGGATGGTACTATGAGGTTTTTAAGATAAGTTGGGCCTGAATATTCAAAACCTTGTGCTGAGTTTTTGACTTTACATGAATCTAAAGAAGAGAAGCCAGTATGGGACAAACATGCTCTCTTTTTCTAGTCATCGTGATATCTTTGTTCATGACTACAAATCAGTGAGAGGGGTTCAAAGGCTGACTCTTCTAACAGCCTGGGGACAATATGCTGTCAAAAAATGTGACAGAGTGCAGAGGGTGTGGAGCTGCCTCGTGAGCATACAGATATTTGGAGATTGGCAAAATAATGTGAAAAATAAGATAGTGAAAGAGAGAATTTTATGCCTTATGCAAAAAGAAACGTTTGGAAGAGCGAGTTCTCTCAGACTTTTCTATCACTGATACAGGGCCGTCCTAGTCAATGTGTTTCTTCACAAGTTGAAATGACTGTGGTTCACGTTTGTGCTGCGTTTCCACAGATAATTTTTTGGTCTGTGGGCTGGACAGGCCTACTTTTACATGAAAGGTAATGACTACCTAGAAATAAAATATGATATTTTAAATGAAATATTTATAGAAATCTCCTCAAGATAAACACAAGTACAACCCGTGACACGCAGCTGGATTCTGCTGGACCTCCAGTTCCACGGAGCGTTTACTTTACAGCTGTGTGCGTGTTTGAGGTTGCTCACGCCTTGGTGGAGAGGACGGTCTTTGAATCATTTAACATGTCTGACTTGTTCTCT